CTCAACCTCCCAAGTGACTGGGATTATAGGCATGTACCACTGTGCTTCACCATTAATACAATCTACCTCAAATGATGCCAGAATTAAGTGAGATGATGCATGTGAAGCACTTAACACAGACCTGATGCAATGTAAATGTGGCAGAGTAAAAGAGAGAAATATTCCTTTAAAACTATTACTTTCATAATAAAGCACTAACAATCTTGCCCCAAGTTCCCTCAGGTTTCACTCTCCTATGCTACTGTTCAACTTTAATTCCCACTACATTCTGCTTTGTTATTTCTCTGTAATAACTGCAGAGACTTGCTTTATGAAGTCCCTTCTCTATTTTGGGGCGTGGAGGATACAAAAGCTATTGTCAAATATCCAAAGGATCAAAAGTAAAATTAAGCTTGAATCATAAAAGGCTGGACTACAACTTAGAAAAACTGGACTGTGACCCAAGGAAGTACAATATGGCTCAAAAATGAAATTTTGATTGTCTTTGATGCCCCCAAATGGGAGGATTTTCTAGTCAGCTTCCTATCCCTGGAAGTTTTGACACAGATGGCATCCTATCTGAGCTGTTGTCATATTTACATAAGTGTGCACATATATTAAGTTGGCATTTATTGTATTCTATGTCAGACCCAATGATAAATGCTTTGCATGGATTCTTTTCATTTAGTACAGAAGTCCTACAAGGACTGGATTCCAATCATGACTTGAAAACTTAGTTGCTGTGTTAATGAACAAGTCACTAACCTACGTTTCCACTTCCTTATTCGTAAAATAGTAATCTACCTCGAAGTCCATCGTGAGGTTTAAATGGATTAATAAAGTGTTCAGAGGAGAGCCTGGCACATAGTATGCGCAACGTGTTAGCTATCTCTGTCATCCTAAATGTCAGCTATCATAACTAGAGACTCCTTTTGGGCCGGGCGGCTGCACCTGCAGTTCTGCTGGAAGCTGGGCAAGCGATCGAGCAGGCGGCCAAGCGACTCCTCCACGTCGCCGAAGAGGCGATGGATACGCTCAGTGCACTCCGCGCCACGGATAAAGGTCTTGTAGTTGGCGAAGGCCAAGTCGCGTGTCTGTTGCAGCAGCTGTGCCCGCTCCTCGGCCAGGCGCTCGGGCTCGCGCCGCAGCCTCTCCAACCCCGAACCACTCAATTCCCGGAGGTAGCGGCCCACATCAGGCCGCTCCCGCCACTGAGCCTCGGGGAAGCGGTCCCGGAAGAGCGATGCCAGGAGTCCTTCATCCTCCACCTCTCCCAGAGCCGCTGCCGCTGCCGCTGCCGTGGCCGAGGCCGTGGATGAAGATGGGAGAGTCGCTGCAGCCGCCATCTTCCCCGCAGCTGCGTCACTTCCCCTCCAGACCGGTGAGGGCGCTGAGCGCCTAGGGCCGGAAGCAACAGGGTCACATTTCCTGTCTCTATGGTTTCTTCGCTGGAGGATTTTCTTTCCTCGGCGGTCCTCCACGTTAGGGGGCCCTAGTGCAGGACGGGGCTAGAGAGGCAGGCTTTGGGGTTGCCAGGGAACCGCCGGAACCCGACTTCCGTTCCTGGCAGCGGAGCACGAGGGTCCGGTGTTTCAACCTATCGGGAAAATGCGGCCTTTAACTGAGGAGGAGACCCGTGTAATGTTTGAGAAGATAGCCAAATAGTAGGAGCACATGGGGCAGACGAGGGAGTGTGTGCGCGGTGGACCCTGGGTGGAGTGGGGACGCGGTACGGGGTGAATCCGTTCGGGCGCGGCCTCCAGTCCTCTTTTTACCCTCAGCATCGGGGAGAATCTTCAGCTGCTGGTCGACAGGCCCGATGGCACCTACTGTTTCAGGCTGCACAACGACCGGGTGTACTACGTGAGGTGAGGCGTTGCTGAGCGGGCAGTGTGGATAAAGTGGAGGCTTGCGTCCCCTCAGCCTCCCTAACTCGAAACCTTTCTCCTGCTTATCCCATTAGTGAGAAGATTTTGAAACTGGCCGCCAATATCTCCGGGGACAAGCTAGTATCGCTGGGGACCTGCTTTGGAAAATTCACTAAGACTCACAAGTTCCGTTTGCACATTACAGCTCTGGATTACCTTGCACCCTATGCCAAGGTTTGTGGGATGCTTTCCCTTTCGTCACTGGGAAGGAGATCAAAGTTATGGGGCACTTTAGAATGGTGACACGCTATAATCCCAGCAACTCGGGAAGCTGAGCCAGTAGGATGCCTGTTTCGAGGCAGCCTCTAAAATTTAGTGAGATCCTGTCTCAAAACAAAAGGGGGAAAAAAAAAGGCAACAGCTCAAAGCACTCCTGGGTTCAATCCCCGGTACCAAAAAAAAAAAAAGAACGCAAATCATTGGGCAGCTGTTTTCCTGTGGAGTACCTGAGAGTACCTGGCCCAGTGCCAGCACAAGGAGACTTTAAAGTCTTGCTGCCAGGCCATGCAGCTGCATAGAATAGTAATCTCCAGCAAAGTAGAAAAGCCTGTGCAGATCCGCTTCAAGATCAGAAACCAGATAAATGGCTGTGATGAGGAGGGTACTGGGATTCAGAAAAAGAAACTGTCCATGGGAGTTGAGAAAACTTTTTGGCAGTTCTGTTCAGTGGATGAACAATTTGAGGGGAAAAAAGTGCACCTACCCCTTCCCCAAAATTCTTTTTTTATTTTTAATTTTTTTTTTAAAATATTTATTTTGGGGGGCTGGGGATGTGGCTCAAGCGGTAGCGCGCTCGCCTGGCATGCGTGCGGCCCGGGTTGGATCCTCAGCACCACATACCAACAAAGGTGTTGTGTCCACCTTCACCTAAAAAATAAATATTTAATTTTTTTTTTTTTTTAAAAAGAGAGAGAGAATTTTTTTTCACAACACAATGCCTTTATTTTTATTTGGTGCTGAGGACCGAACCTGGGTCCCGCTCATGCTAGGCCAGCACTCTACCGCTGAGCCACAATCCCAGCCCCCAAAATTGTTTTCAGAAATAATCACAGGGGCTGGAGTTGTGGCTCAGTGGTAGAGTGCTTGCCTAGCACGTGGGAGGCCCTGGGTTCGATCCTCAGCACCACATAAAAATAAAATAAAGATATTGTGTCCAACTACAACTAAAAAGCAAACTATTTTAAAAAAAGAAAAAGAAATAATCACAAAACAGCAGCTGACTTATCCACAGGGATATAACTATTACTTTTTGTTTTTGTTTTTGCTTTTTTTTTTCTCTTTTGCATTTTAATTCTATCTTACAGTATAAAGTATGGATAAAGCCTGGAGCAGAGCAGTCCTTCCTCTATGGAAACCATGTGTTGAAATCTGGTCTGGGTCGAATTACTGAAAACACCTCTCAGTACCAGGGAGTGGTGGTATACTCCATGGCAGACATCCCTTTGGTAAGTAAAGATGGTAGCTATTACAAAAACCAAGTGTCTTTTTATTCAAGAAGAGTGTATTTTCAACTTGTGCTTCTGAGAAACTAATTTCTAAGCACCTTTTGAATTCCTCTAGGACAAGAATTGTGTTTTTTCTCATTTTTATTATTTTCAGCCCTCAACATGGGCTTATTGAATGACTTGAGTGAATTAGTGTCTCTTCTTTTGAATCCCAGGGTTTTGGGGTAGCAGCAAAGTCTACACAAGACTGCAGAAAAGTAGACCCCATGGCGATTGTGGTATTTCATCAAGCAGACATTGGGGAATATGTACGGCATGAAGAGACATTGACTTAAAATGAAGTCATCGCAAGAACTTAACATCTGTGTTGAAGGGCCTAGCTTTGTTTCCTGTGTCTATGCAGATGCCGCCATCATGCTGAATTTTGTCAGCACTGTGACCTCTACAGGGACTTCTTAGTTTAATATTCTCATTATCACTGACAGGTGCAGGCTGATTCTTACTATACACAAGTGACTCAAAAGTAGGGTTTTAGATCATTTGTATTTGTAACTAAATTGAATACTTTTATATTTGAATCAGGGGGCTTCTTGTTCTGAGTAATAGCTTCTAAACTATTGAAACTGAGAACAAGAATATAGTATTATTGTTATCTGTGATAACACTGTTTTCCAGACTCATAGTAAGAACACAATGGATTTTCTTTGTTATTTATTACTTCACAAAAGATATTGCTATATAATAGTTGGCCATGTCTGAGGTTTTAGGTATGAATTTGGCTAAAATAATAAGTGCAATTTAGTCAGCTGCTTTTCTATACAGTAAGTGCTATTTGGTATGGAAGAAAAACTTGGATTCAAATCCTACTTCTGCCACTTGTCAGCTATACGGCTATGAATAAGTTGTTGAGCTTCCAAAAGCTTCATTTCCTTCTGTTAAAAAAAAAAAAACAACTTTAGCCATCAGTCTAAGAATGTTTTTTAGGATTAGGAATCATGATTGTAAAGCATAAGGCACAGTGTGTGGCAAACAATGGGTGTTGGAGAAAATGGTAGAGGAGTTATTTTTATATTATATATTTCTTTTACTAAGTAAGCATGTGGTCTTATGAGTATAATTTGATTATATTTTTACTTTTTTTCTTTTTTATCTTCTTTTTCTTGGATGGGATGATCCCAGTTTGTAATTTTGTTCATTTCTTTGATTTTATAAAACATTTCTCTTATCAGCCTGACTAGACTGGACAAAAAAGCACTAATTCAAACCCTGAAATAATTTAGCTCCTTCATCCTTATACTTCCCCAAAATCTCTTGTAGAATTAAAATATTTTATAAAGGAGAACATTTCAGAGCCAGAAATTTTAAAAACCACATTACTGTAAAACAAAACAATTTCTTAAATGAATATAACACTTTTAATTCCAAAGGAAACATCTCTGAAAATAAAATACTTTAAACTACAAAAAGTACCCTACCAACTCCTGTTAATCTCTGCAAGCAAATTTGCATTTGTCCCGTTGTCTACTCTTCTCCCTTCCAGGGTTTTCGTCTAAGTAGAATCACTGAAGGCTAATGGACTGTTTTATGATGAAAAGTTTTTTAATCTTGGCATTTAATTCATATTTTAGAAATAGTTAAACTCTGAACATTTGCATTTTTATTATTTTATTGCTATTTTGTTTTTGTTGATAAGGGTAATAAATTAAAATATTAAATTGATTTTTTTTTTTCCCCCAATAATTTTACAAAGGTGATTTGACCAAAGTTTTGAAAAAGCTGCTGCCCAGTAAAAAAAAAAGCCAGAATGCTGTAGTCAGCTTAGCATTTTGGCTTCTTTGTGTCAGTAGTTGTTGGAACACTGAAGAGACGCTTCAAGAAATAGAGCTGCAAAATCCCAGAAAGAACAATAACAAGGCTCTGAACTGCTGACCACCAGTTCACATAGGTGTAGTTTGACTGGACAAGGAAAAAGTCAGCCATCTTCCTCATTCGTGCCAAGGTGTAGAATCGCCACATGTGGAAGACATTGTTGTGCACCTTTCGTGTACTATCCTATAGGAGGAAAAAAATAAAGAAAGAGATCCATTCCCCACCTATTCTCATGAGTGCTCAGCAGCACTAACGTATCTTAAAGTCAAGTAATTTCCTTATGATTTTAAGATACAGTATTTATTTGGCTATGCTGGGGCTCAAACCAGCACATTCTAGGCAAACGCTGTACTGCTAAGCTAAAACTCCAGCTCTATAAAACTATTATAGTTGATAAATGCTAATTTTGAAACTGGGTGTGGTGGCACACTCTTGTAATCCCAGTCACTTGGGAGGTTGGGACTAGAGAATCAAGGATCACAAGTTTAATATTTAAAGGCAACCAAGTGAGACCCTGACTCAGAAAGGGAGGGTAGTGCAGGGTAAGATTATGACTCCAGTAGAGTGGTTCTAGGTTCAATTCCTAGTACCAAAAAGAAAGAAAAAAGTAAGTTTTGCTGTATATGAAAAGTGGACTATACAACAGTGTGGTAGAGTGGCTTTTTTTTTTTTTAAATATTGTGGGAACTGGGGATGTGGGTTGGTGGTATAGTGCTTGCCTGGTATGCGCAAGGACCTAGGTTAATCCCGAACACAGATACACACACACACAAACATTGTGCAGTGCTGGGGTTAAACCCAGGGCCTTATATGTAGTAGACAAATGCTCTGCCACTGAGCTACACCCCAACCAAAAAAAATTTTTTTGTTGTTTTTTTAATGATGAAACGGCTTCAGTGCTTTAAGTAGAAAGCTCTTTCCAGAAGATCTCTAGATTTAAGCATGTATTAAGCCTTTCATTATACTTTTGGTAATTTCTTCTGCCTGCAGATTCTGAAGGACAGACAGTAAATATTTTGAGTTTTACTGACCATCTCATCTCTTAAAACTACAAATTCTGCCACTGCAGCACAAAAGCAGTTCATAGAAACTTGTATTTGTCAAATAAGCATGACTTCAAATAAAACATCCATTTACAATAGTGTTAAGTCCCCAGTACCACAAAAATAAATAAAAATAAAATTTTCACTTACAAAACTAAGCTTTTGTGCACCAAGGAGACTATCGGGAAAGAAAAACTGGGCACTGTGGCACATGCCTATAATCCTGACTACTTGGAAGGCTGAGGTGGAAGGATCACAAGTTTGTGGCCAGCCTGAGCAGCTTAGCTTAGTGAGCCCTGTTTCAAAATTTAAGAAAGGTCTGGGTTGCCGCTCAGTGGTTGGTCACAAGACTAGTGTGCACAAGACCCTGGATTCAGTCTCCAGAACAACAAGGAAAACAAAGAATGAAAATGAAAATCCCATAGAATGAGAGAAAATACCTGCAAATCATATATCTGATATGGACTCCTGTCCAGGATATGTAAGTAAAACTTACAACTCTACAATACAAACACAACAACCTGGGCATTGTGGCACATGCCTATTATTCCAGTGACTTAGGAAGCGTGACAAAGGAGGATCTCAAGTTTGAGGCCAGCCTTGTCAATTTAGCAAGATCTTATTTCAAAATAAAATGGACGGGGAGGTGTGACTTAGTGATAGAATGAACCTAGGTTCAATCTCCAGTACCACAAAAAATAAAAAGAATTACTGGCAGGAGTGGAGGTGCTGGAATTGTGAATACTTGGCAAGTTTTCTACAACTGAATCAAACCCCCAACTCAAAAATTCAATTTTAAAATGGGCAAAGGAAGCTGAGCATGGTAGTGCACACCTGTAACTCCAGCAGCTCAGGAGGCTTAGGCAGGATGATCAAGTTCAAATCCAGCCTCAGCAATTTAGCAAGGTCCCAAACAACTCGATGAGATCCTGTTTCTAATAAAATATAATAAAGGGAATCCCTGGTACCAAAAATAAATAAATAAGAGCAAAGTATTTTTAAAGAAGATATGCAGCCAAGCATGTGTAATACCAGCAATTCAGGAAGCTGAAAAAAGTGGATCACAAATTCAAAGTCAGCCTAGGCAATTTAATGAAACCCTGTCAAAGTCAGGCCCAGTAGTGCACTCTTGCACTCCCAGCGATTTGGGAGACTGAGGCAGGAGGGTCACAATTTTAAGGCCTGCCTTGGTAACTTAGTCCCTAAGCAACTTGGCAAGAACCTCTCAAAATATAAGAAGGCTGGGGATATAGCTCAGTGGTAAAGCATTTCTTGACTCAATCCCTAGTACCAAACATACACATGGTCAATAAATGCTTGAAAATATGTGTAACATTAATTATTAGAGAATGTAACTCAAACCACAAGATACCACTTCATACCTACAGTATGACTATAAAAAAAGTGTCAGGATGTGTCAAAATCACCCTCATACACAGCTAATGGGAACATTTCAGTTACAATGTAACCCAACAGTTCTACTTTTAGGTAGACAAGGTAGAAACAATGCTTGGAGGCACATATTCATGGCAATGTTGTGGTAGCCAAAGGGTGGAAACAACTCAAAGTTCCCTCAACTGCTAAGTGGACAATAAAATGTATGTTCACACAAGAGAATATTATTCATCCATAAAAAGGAATAAAGTGCTAATATGTGCCACATGAATAAACCTTGAAAACATGATGAGTGGAAGAAACCAATCACAAAGGGTCCCATGTATGATTCCATGTATGTGAAATTTACAGGATAGGGTAAATCTATAGAAACAATAGAATAGTGGTTGCCAGAGCTGAGGAGATTATGGGGGAATGGAGAGTGACTAACGGGTACAATTTCTTTGTGGGGTGATGAAATTATTCTGGATTGGATGCTAGAGATGGTTGTACAATCTTGTGAATATACTAAAATCTAGTGAAATGTATATGATTATTTCTCAGTTTGTGTGTGTATATACATACATACAGGTAGTAGGCCCTGTTTGGTTTGTGAGTCTTAGTTTGGAAACCCGTGGAATAAATTAGACTGGGGTTGTGGCTCAGTGGTGAAGCACTTGCCTCACATGTGTGAGACACTGGGTTCAATCCTCAGCACCACATAAAAATAAATAAATAAAATAAGGGTATTGTGTCCATCTACAACTAAAAATATATATATTTTTAAAAGAGTCCAGGGGCTGGGGATGTGGTTCAAGCGGTAGTGCGATCGCCTGGCATGCGTGCGGCCAGGGATTCGATCCTCAGCACCAAATACAAACAAAGATGTTGTATCTGCCGAGAACTAAAAAAGAAATAAATATTAAAAATTTCTCTCTCTCTCTCTCTCTCAAAAAAAAAAATAAATAAAAAGAGTCTAAGTCTTAAAAACCTGTTAAAAGTATTCACATCCTCCTGCCTGTTTGGTTTCTACTCTTTAATCCTTCCTCCAAATTTAAAATCAGTTCCCATGGATATCTCTCTCTCACAGAAAACATTACCTGAATTGCATCCAGGGTATCGTTCAGTTGTTTTCTTTGAATCTGTTTGTGGTCCATCTCTGGCCCTTCATAGAAGACTCCAAAGTTGACATACACTTGCACAGAACCAAAGTGATTTTGCTGATTTTTTAGACAGAGCTGATAATAACCTGTAGGAATTCCTAGATTGTTACCAAGTCTTTGGTCTCCCACCCTATCTTAAGGTTTTCCTGGAGATACCTGTTCCCCTTTTTAAATTGCTACTGCATCACATTCGTTTTACTTAGGAAGTGCCCGATCCCATTTTTTAACATGGAGGACACTGCTCTAGTCTTACAAATATTACCAATAATTATATTTTACTAAATATCAGTAACTTCAGTTCTATACTGGATAGATAACAATGTTTTCCCTTTCTCCTAACCTGGAATTCCCATCTTTTTAAGATAACCCTGCTTGACTGTTGAAATTAAAGATTATGGTGTTTGCCTGTTTCTTGTATGTCATTAGAGCTGGGACACCACCTTGAACTTCAAACTAGGGAAAAAAAAAAATTGATGCTTTGTGAATGAAAAACACTACCCTATTGGAGTGTTGCCTGCCCTGTGGTCTGTTCAATGACTGATGGGGTTTCTATTAGAGTTCTTTTGAACTGGGTCACCTCTGTGTGCATCATGGGTCAGGGTAGAATTATAAAAGCATGGCAGTTTTGAAAGGCAAAATGTTTGGGAGGCACTATTGGCATGTAGGGGGCAAAGATGCTAAACATCCTTCAGTACAGAATGAGTATCCTACACATGTGGTACACAGTGATGCCTCTGTTGAGAAAATCTGTCTTTGTTTTTTAGTACACTTGAATAGTTACTAAGATTGCCTGGTGTTGTCCAAAGTGGAATAAGCTTGATCTGGCTGTAGGAACTTTCTGGCTGGAGAAGTGCTTTGCTGTGGAGTGTGGATCTCTCACATGACCATGCATTTTCTTTTTTTTCTGAATCTGCTTTTAAGTGACTAAAATATTCTGATGTCTGGAAAGAAATGTGTCCCCATGATAAATTTGTTAAATGGAAATCTGTATTGTAACTTGTTTCTTACTTTCTAATAATTTGATCATTTAGAGAAATGAGAAAATTGTGCTTCCACTGAGTACAGTGGCAGGCACCTGTAATCCAGCTACTTAGGAGATTGAGGCAGGAGGATCTAAGTTACAAGCCAGCCTGAGCAATTTATGGCTGAGAGTGTTGTTCAGTGGTAGAGTACTTGCCTAGCATGAGAGGTCCTGGGTTCAATCCCTAGTACAGGGGTTGGGGGTAGATATTGAGCTTCATACCCAGTAATTATAATGTTCACCTTGAGACCCTGCTCCCAAATTGCCATTGGAATGCCAGTGGACAGTCTTAGATGTCAGAGGTCTCCAAGAAACTGGTTTTGGTGGTTATGGCTAAATTTTCTTCCTACCATTTTACCATCTCTATACTTCCTCATTATTTCCTCACTTTCATAGAAACCTCTGATTACTATAATAGCTGTGGAGATGAAAACAGACCTGTCTCTTGGACAAAAAAATTAATCTGGCCCCGAACATCCTGGGAGGTGCCTATGAGGAAACCCTGTGGAGTATGTGCAGTGGCAGCAACATGCCGGTCATGTGCCATCCCGAGTATTCGCTGAACCTGCCAAGACATTAAGGAGGGAAGAAAGATCCTGCTACATCACCAAGAAGCCAGCTAGGTGGTAAAATTGACATCCCATAATTATCAGCACAGTGGTTCTCAGTCTGGCATGGTACTGGCCACCCAGTCCCCCTTCTGGTGAATTTGGAATTGAGCTTTTTGGTTGTCATAGTAATGGTGTTGGGAGGAGCCACTTCTGAACAATCTACAATGTCAGACATGTTTCCAGCCACACAGCTGGGATGGAGCAGTTGATATGTACAATTCTGCCTGTAGAGTTCTTGGCTAAACTTGCTTGATTACTGAGCTCCCTGGTGGTATCCCAGATTTGGGCATTTGCTGCTTGGCAGCCCATGCCTACAGTGGGCACTCCATGGACACCTGTCCCCAAACTGGATCTTGATAAGTCCAAGCTATAGTAGCTATTGTTCTGATATAAATTCAAAGATAAGAAAAAGCTCTGAAAAGTTAACTTAATTTTTAGTTACAGTGGGGTGAGTAAGAGCAACATTATCTATTACTATATTAAAAAGTTAACAGCTTTCTAAGATAAAGAACAGAGGAAAGGAACAGTCTCTCCAGGCACAGTGTTGCACACCTGAGATCCGAGCTACTCAGGTGAGGCAGGAGAATCCAAAGATTGGCCCAACCTGGGCAACTGAGCAAGACCCTGTCTTAGGGGCTTGGCTTAGTGGTAGGGGGCCTCTGAGTTCAATCTCCAGTATGAGATAAAAAAATAAGATCCTTGAAGTTGTTCCTGCTTGTAATCTCAGTGATTATGGAGGCCAAGGCAGGAGGATTGCAAGTTCAAGGTCACCTCACAGCCCCTGAGCAACTTAGAAGAACCTCTCAGAATTTTATATATATATATATATATATATATATATTTTTTTTTTTTTTTTAAGGGCTGTGATATGACTCAGGTTAAGCACCCCAGGGTTCAATCCCCACCATCAGCCAATAAAGGAAGAAAGGAAGGAAGGGAGGGAGGAAGGAAGGAAGGGAAAGGAAGGAAAAGAAAGGCTGGGGATATAACTCAGTGGTAGATCACCACTGGGTTCAATCCCAGAGGAAGGAAGAAATGAGGGAGGGAGGTGGGAAGGAAAGAAGAAAAGAACAGCCTCTAACTTTAATACTGACTGTTCATTATCCTTGAACAATGTGGTGTAAGATCACAATATGGGCAAAAGTACTTGTAAAGAAGTAACTTGAACACATTTACCTTGCTAAAAGAAATATATTGAGCCAGCGATTCTCCAATCTGCCAGAATTTCCTCTAAAGGCTTCTAGTATAGCAGATGTGGCTCCCCCAACCCTATTCAGTAGAGCAGCTTTCTTTTAAACTTCTGAGTCAGTCTGCAAGTTTCATGTGTTTTTATCCAGCTTTGTACTATATTCACATTTTATTGATTTTTACATGCTGGGGACTCTGTATCTACTTTTTAAAAAAAATTTTTTATTGTAGATGGACACAATACCTTTATTTTATTTATTTTTATGTGGTGCTGAGGATCAAACCCCTGCCCTCCCATGTGCTAGGCGAATGCTCTACCACTGAGCCACAATCCTAGCCCTCCTATATAAATTTTTAAAAATATATTTTAAAATGTATCCTTACTCCTCTCATCCCCAAATCCAAATCAATGCAATGGTTGCCTCTCCAGGAATTTGTCCCATGGCTTTGAGCACACTTCTGCAGCCCCAGTTTGAGAAGCCAAGCCATATGTTTGAGCTACCATTGGCAATTATCCTCCAGCTCTCACCAAGAGTTTCCCTCTAACTACAGGTCTATTTCAACAAGTGGGGATCACAGCATAATAGATAGCTAGAATTTGGTTTGATCTAAACCTGACTCATTTTACAAAAGGCAAAAATAGTCCCCAGTGTGGCCAGAGAAACCCAAGTACCTCATAACTGAAATAGAAGTATCCAGTCTGGTGGGCAAATTGCCAAAAGCATTCTGTGTTTCCTGGAGGGATCATAATAGCAAAGTCATGTCGATCAGCTCTGTGGAAGAGCGGTTGGTCCCCAGAGCCTCTTAAGGGTTCTGTCTTCTGGCTCCTAGCAGATATCACTAGATTCAGAATCAGTAGCCAAGCCCCAAGGAGTGAAGGGGACATGCTGCTTTCTGTAGACTCCTGCAGGTGAACTGCTTGAAGCCCTGTGGATCCAAGTAGTTCTGATAACCACTGGGCTAATCATTAACCTAGGTTACATTTCAGCCAATTTTAGGGCTAAAATAAATATGCTGTGATAGAACTACCATAGAACTCCCATGTTTGGCTCATGGAAGAGTTTTTTCTTTTGCCTCAAAAATTAAGTGGTTTAATAGACCTACTCCATGGTGATAGAATCTACTACTTCATTGGATTTTTACCCATTCCTTAGGCCATCATATTTCAGTTCTTGCTTCTTGGGGATGAAATATTGGATAAAATTCATTTATACTGAAAAAGGTTGGCTGGAGGTTTTTTTTTGGTTTTTGTTTTTAATTCATTACATGTTACCAGGTGATACCTCTTGCTCCTATAAAATACCTGGAGCAATGTGTTTCAACAGTTTTCTACCTAGAACTACAGTTTAGAGCAAAGCATAACATGTGTGAGCAAAAGTTTAAATGGATGAATAGAGTGACAAAGGCAGCAGCCAGTCCCTTCTACTTGATAGTCCTCTTCCTTAACTTCAACTTGACACATTCATCTAAAGCTATCCAAACCCCATTTAATGATGACACTGTTCAAATCCTCTGACTTTGTTTCATCTCTTATTCATAACCTTTTCAGCACTGGACAGGAGATTTAAAAAAAAAAAAAAAGCCATCCAAAATCCACTTCAAGACTATTGTCCAAATCCTCAGTCTTTCTTCTTTTATTGATGACTTCAAATATCCACTGACTTCATGGCAGGCACTGAGCTAAGAAATTTACCTGCATCTTACTTGTGGTTCTGTGATCTATCATCTTAGAGATGAGGACATGACATTCAGATTTGAGGGGCTGGCTCACAGTCAACAAATAGAGCTGGCAGGGCTGGTACCTTGATGGGGCTCATGCTCTTAACCTCCAGGACAGTGTTTTTCAGACTGACAGTTTCTATACTCTAATGTCTAAACTTTCCAAGCTTTACAACCAATAAGCAGAGAACAGACCTCATAAGTGTGGTTCAGTTCCAGCCACAATCAGATGGCATCCCAGCACTAGGGAGGCACAGTGGTTCTGCAGTGGACTTGCTGAAGTCAAGGCAGGAGAGCCCGGGGCCACATCAGTAACAGTGGCATAGGTACCCAAGCCCTCCTGCCACCATAGTACTTACACCACTCATGTCAGGAGCAGCAACTGGCTTCAGCTAAATATCATCAGTTCGTGAAGTTTTATACTTCTAAAGAAGCCATAAGCATTAGAGTCCTATGTTGGTACACATTTCAATAACAACATAATAAAAACACTAAAGTTATATGAAAAAAAAGGTTAACGGAACTATACATTTCTTATAGTATTTGGTTTTGTTTTTTGTGACACTGGGATTAAACCCAGCAGTGCTCAGCCACTGAGCCACATCACTTGCCCTGTGTAAGACAGGATCTAAGTTGCCCAGGCTCATCTTGATCCTCCTGCCTCAGCCTCCTGAGGAACTGGAATTACAGGTATGTACCACAGTGCCTGGCTTCATTTACCAAGTTTGATACACACTGATTAAGATACTTCGCTTCCCTGAATGCATCACCATTAAATGATTGGGGGGGGGGAGTGAGGGGAGGAAAGCTTTCTGGACTCTAATCCAATTTGGAGAGAGACTACAACTCACTATAACCAGAAGGCAGCTAGGCCAAGAGGAGCTTAAGTTTTCACCTTTTCCCTGCCTTCATTTGGGTTTAGCTGGTAGAAAAACAGATCAAACCCCAGAACACACAGTAAAAGATAATAAAGCTATGCAAAGTTTCTAACTTGTATCTAAATGATAAATTTAAAAATTTTAGCATATCTTGAAGCTTTGCCTTTCACTCAAAAGAAAGTAAGGGGAAATTCTTCTGTCCCCCAAAAAGCATGTTACATGAGGAAATGGACAAATTAAGAGGAAACTTCCACATTGTCTGACATGGCTTCCAAGAATTAGAACATCCAGTACAGTTTGACAACAGCTTTTTTTTTTTTTTTTTTTTTTTTTTTTATCGTGCTAAGGATTAAACTCAGTGGTTGGCCTTGAACTTGCAATCCTCCTGCCTCAGTCTTCCAAGTAGCTGGGTTTATAGACATGCACCACTGTGCCTGGCTAACTTCAGTTTCTTGTTCAATGTATGTAGTTCAGCAAAGTTTGTTCACAATTTCACTACCTACATCTGTGAAAACATGCTGTGCTGCAATTAAACAACTACTTAAATTTGAGAGAAGCAAGACTTTAATGAAGAATGCTACAAGTATGGACAATAATTAGTTCTCATATTTTAAAAAAAGATTACAGAAAACACTTTCTGAAAGTTTTTGCTAAAAAGACAATCTTTAAGGATGTCAGAGAAAGACAGCAAGCACAACACAGTACAAAAGGAGAAGGGAATGTTGAATTCCAGTGCAAGACACTAACACAGCACAATTAGGGAATAGGCAGAAGCAACCGGTTCACAAAGAATGGAATTAGGTATTTATATTCAATCAGGATTTTTTTTAAGCTTTCGAAGTCCAGCATAAGGAAGGAAACTGAAAAAAGAGGTGGGACTTAGAGGGCTAAGCTTATCTACAATCACCATTTTACCAAGAAAACACACTGGTTCAACCACATGAAAAGTGGCGGATAAACCTGCCAATGTAGCACAGCACATATTAAAAGCAAATGCCAAGGCAGTCAGATCTATGGTTGATTTCACAGGTGGCTAAACAGTTTTTAAAATGATTCCACAAGGACTGATCTCTCATCAACCTGGGCTCAAAATCAATGGAGTTCCTTTGCATTTGCATCAGAAGGCCAAAACTTTATGAGCAACAAGTTCACTCCAGATGATGCTCCTGTTGCTGGATTTAACAGGTCATGAAATCATAAGTGACTCCAACAGACTCCACCATTTCCTAGAAGATTCTACAGATTACTGGGGATTTAAATTTAAGCAAACCACTAAAGAAGGGAAACACTAATGGTATTGTGGCACTGTACAAGCTGTGCCTGTCACCTCTGCCAAGGACACAAGGTAGGCTTGGCTTTGCTTCTTAGTTCTTAGCTCCATGATCTTCAAAAGTAATGAAATGGACCTGGGACCTCCCCCATAATGAAGAAGGTTGCCCATAATTCTCATCCCAGTCCAGCTTCTGAAAGAAACAGCAGGGATTATTATTAGGAACCATGCTCCTGTGAATCCTGGGAAAATGAAAGCCTGCTTCAGTTCATGCCAAGTTTTTTCATGGTCCGCCAGCGATCCTTAATCATCACAGCTGTTCGGTTAACAAACGGATAATTTTTAGAAATGGCAGCCCAGTTTCCTTCCCCGTATTTATGTACTCCAGCCTTGACCCACTCACTTTCTTCTACAGTCCACTTCTGCAAAAGAAAACCAAGAGTTATCAAAGCCTGTCTCTGTTCACATGTTCTCCAAAATAGTAATGAGGTAAATTCAAGAATCACAGGAGAGAGCTAGGGGTATAGATCAATGGCAGATGCTTGCTTAGCATGTAGGATCTTGGTTGATCCAGAGAGAATAATGTGAACCTAAAAGGAGAGTTGTTTTTTTTTTCTCTCCCTTTTGGTACCAGTGATTGAATTCAGGGGCACTTAATCATTGAGCCACATCCCCAGCCCTTATTTTGAGACAGAGTCTCCCTGAGTTGTTTAGGGTTAAGATGGCTTTGAACTTGTGATCCTCCTGCCTCAGCTTCCCCAGCCACTGGGATCACAGGTGTGTACCACTGGGCCCAGTTATGTTCTTAAAACATGGTTAAGATATTAAATGAACGCTACAGATTGGACATTTGGTAAATTTCCTGCCATCTCATTCTCGACTAATAATCATTTCTGTTTTCCAAACTTCAAAAATGTATGTGATCCAGAAAGTATGTCAGACTCTCCAAATTTTTTTTTTCTAGAGAGTAACTATTGT